CACGTCTCTGTTTCCTTGTCGTGCATCTTCTTCTCTTTCTCTGTCTCGGTTATATTGTCTCCTTGGCCTTGGTTCATGATCATGATCTAGTGGATCTCCATCCAAGTCAGACAGATCATCTTCTTCTTGATTTACTCTCTGAGCATTCGTATTCCTAATGGGATCTCTCCGTACTGGTGGAGGTTGTTCAAGTTGTGTCATACGATTTCCAAGGGTCTGAAGTTGAGTCTGAATAGCAGCAAGAATCTGAGCAACGTTCACATTTTCTTGATCTCCCATTTTCACGTTTTCTGTCTCTCACAACAAACAACATATCAAGTGCACAAGAAGTTGAAAAGACAAAACAAAAACATATATAGATCTAGTTGTAAGAAGTTGAAACGACAACGAACAAGCTTCTACAAGGCTAATATAGATCGAAACACACAGATCTACTGCAGAAAATTTTAAAAGACAACAGCCTACAAACAGATCTAATACAACAAACGAAATCAAAAGTAACAACTGATTTTTTAGGGTTTTTCTTTAGATCTACGAAGCAGCAACAAAGAGAACGAAATGGACTGAAACGAAAGGAATAGATAAACATGATTAGGAGAGTTTAAACTCTGATACCAGATGATGTAGGAACACAAAGTGATGGATCCGAAAATGGAATGGTTGGTGAATTAGCTGGCCGAAGGGCACTCTCTACAGATCCGATGAATGGTTGATGAAATGAAGTGGATTCGATGGAGACTCTTCAACTGGCCGAAGGGCTCTCTTTGAAGAATCGATTGAAGGGAATGGATAGAAGGATGGATCGATAGACGCCACACAGATAATGGATGATCTGTGATAAGTCTAAACTCTCAATCTTCGAGGAATCTCACACAAGAAGAAAGGAGGCGACTGTTTCTCTCTCAGAAGAAAAGTCTCATTTTATTTCATAAAACTTAATAGGTTACAAGCTGAGAAGGGACTTTATATATAGTCCAGCAGCTRKGGACCTTCTAGGGTCGAAAATATTASATAATAAAAKGACTAAACGTGCAAAGCAACAKACTCRAAAATTAAAAGACTTAAATAAACTCTAACGGTCTTATTTCTGCAAAACAGAAAAAGAAACACGTTAATTATTCAAAGAAATTCAAATACATACCTTGAGAGTTTCTGGACTGATTTTAGATGGCTTGATCTTCTCTTGAAATGGTGAACAAAGTTGTTTCCTTAATTCCTTGAAGAACAAGCATAAGTAGAGTTGTAGTCTTGAGTTGCTTTTGAGCATCTTCTTGTATTTGCTTGCTAATCTCATCGTCTTGAAATTCTTCATGCTCTATGAGTGTGATGAGATTCTCTACAGACTTGTTGAACTCCTCTCTAAGTTTCCTCGTGCCTGATCTTGTTCTTGTAGTTTGCTTCATAGTAGGCACGTTAATGATCTCCTCCTCAGATTCAGTTGAGCTGATTTCGATGTCCTCATCAAGTTATTTTAGTATGCATATAAACATATAAATTCAAAAGTAATTTGGAACAACTTGCCATTATTATAAAGAGAAGCCAATTAGAAACTTTGATAAAGGTTTGATAAAGATCTACGAGCGTCAGAAAGTTATGAGTGTCATTATTCGTTTCTTCTCCTTTATGAATCAGTTAATGTTATGTTTTTTGGCTTCTCTTTATCAAACCTTACTCAATGATCCTCCAAACCTTTATCAAAGTTTCTGACGCTCGTAAATCTTTGTAAATCCTCAAAACATGTCTTTCGTTTTGCTGCTACATGCATTCATCTCATCAACCACCATGTTCCACATTCCCTACATCAGAAGTTTGAGTGGAGAGATAAACAGTAAAACTGAAAAGAGAAACATGTTTGAGAGTCTCAATTAAGCATCGATTAATAAGAGCATGATGGGATAGGAAGCATTAATCTGGAAGGGGAAGGAGTCGAAGAACGTTCAGAATTTCATGCCTTTTGCGCATGTCTTATTATGCCAAAGTCACCCAAACAAAGATACTGTAATCCATTAATGTCAAAACAGATCATGCTCTGGATCGATAATGTACGGAACTATATATGCCCAGTCCACAGCCTTGATTGGCAAAGCATTTAAATGAGTATCATGCTCTTTATCATTAAAACTTGATTGGTAAAGAAAGTATTAAATAAAGCGTTTAGTAACTGCTAATGCTTTCTAAATGCTCTTACCCTCAATGCTCTCAAAAAGAGTTTTTCCAAAGCATTGACCTATGATATTATTAAAAAATATTAAAAAACATACTAAATAGCTAATTTTTTATATATACAAGATTAAAAATGAATTATATCAACTTTTAGTTATTTTAGTTAATATTTATCATTATTTTATTTGTTTTATTATTTTAAAATAATATCAAAATAAAACAATAAAAATTAGTTAAATATAATTTAAATTTGAAAATATTATAAAAAAATTATGTTATAATTTTATAAATATATTTATATAAAACTAAAACCTAATATTTAACATTAGTTTATTTTTCTATTTGTTAAATAGTATTATACTAAAATAAAAATTTAATAAAAGAATAATTAAATAAAAAATGTTGTTTTAACTTATGACTAATATATAATGTATTAGAATACATATAAATAAATAAATAAAATAATTTATTTAATTTTATATCTAGTTATTCACAGTTCTGCCAATTACTTAAAATGTGCATATTAATCATAGAGCA